AATAATAAAGAATGATGATTAGGAAAGCAAAAGTAACAAAACCTCGAGGTATGAGGCAGGCAGTTAAAAGGTAAAAGGGAAATTTTCCAAAAACTGCCTAAACAGGGAACAGCACCCCTCACAGGATGTAATGGAGGGCAGATGGATAAGAAACCCAAATGCCCATTTTTTGGTTTTGTTTTAATAACAGATTTCAATTTCTCTAATAGGTCTGGGGCAATTAAGATTTCCTATCATCTTGTGGTAGTTTTATAACATTTGTCTTATTTATCTAAGTTGCTGAACTTTTTGTATAATGTTTTATTTCTTGTTTCTTTAGCTAAAGAGGAAAAAGAATATTCACTAAGAGGTATCTAAATTGCACTATATGTGGATGATCAAGCAGGTAATTTATTTTAGGTCTGATTCTTCTTGCTGAGAAAGGATTACTAAACAGCATTTATAAATATGAAGAAAAGTAGCATATTCCAATTAATGTTTGTTTTTTGAAAGCGTTAACATTACTGATTTTTAAAAGTGACAGGATCTGGGCCATTTCTCACTCACTTTTGCTTAAAAAGATTTAGCTAATACCAAGAGAATAATTATTTAAATGCAGTTTTCTTCTTCAGATACCCACTTCCTCTGTGAAAAGATTTCCTTTTTAGATGTTAACTAGTAGCCGGCTCTTCTGTACTGTGTGTTTTTTTGTAGTACATTTTCCTTGTGTTACAATCATTCATCTTTTCTGGAATTACATTTATTGAAGGAAGAACCATATGTGTAGTGGAATGATAACCATGCTATCTATTGTATAAAACCTCTATATACATTCTTATAAAATTAATAAACAAAAATTTAACAAAGTAAGTTATTGTATGGTTTATTGGTATTAAGGTGATGTTTTTGCTTGCCAAACAGCGTGCAGTTAAAAAAATTTATTACGTAACAATCCAGCCAAATGTACCCAGTGTTCCTTATTGATCCTTCTGTTCTGGATTGATTTAATAAAAAACTTGGAATATGTCATAAAATATTTCTCATGGCTCCACTTCAGAATGCAATTTTTCTGTTCCCAAGAGGAGTGTTACTGCATTTGCACTGCAATATTCACCTGTGGAAGAATTGAGGTAGGTCGATTGGCGCTTCTGATAATGGAATATGTATCTTACATAACAGTATGGAATAAGCCAGTTTAAGATGTAAACATTTAATATTTTCTTAAAACTTTCATTACTATCAGGAATATTTCAGCTATAAGAAAACAACACAGTTAATAGCTAAAGCAGCATTCCTGTCTTTTTCTTAATAAAACAAGGTTACAGGATTGATATCTGTTAGTGTTTAGTTTAACATGCCCACTGATATTAAAGCTGAAAGTCTTTATATCCAATTCATTTACTTCATCATTGTAAAATAGCTGGTCATAACTCCAGAGTAAAATCACAATCCATGTTCAAGATAAAAGGGAGAAAGAAGTAACATCCATCTTTTGAAGGGAAATTTTTCTCAGAAGCTTCTGGTAAACTGCTTGTTTATATCTCACTGCTCAAAACTATAATTACATGTCTCCTAGTTGTGAGGGAGGCTAAATTACAAGAATTTCACATCTCCAATAATGGAGGAAGGGATTGGATGATGAATTTCAGTGTATGTTGCATAAGGTAGACATTAAGAATAGTATCTTGGTCCAATGCTTCTTCTCATTTTGTAACTGCCACAGTACTTGTTTTGGGTTGAGGGTTTTTTTGCACCAATATTGTTGATACTGAGATAGAATGTTTTTAGATGGGTCTAAAAATTCAAAACTTATATTTCCATCGTCTGCTTATGATTTCATGGCCAAAGTTCAGACAGTTATCAAAAAAAAAGTGTCAGCCAAGCATACCAAAATGTTGGCTTATTTATTTAGAATATTTTTACCATAAGTTGATATTGTTTAAATGTATCCCCAAAAAATTAATGTGGGAAACCTGGTCCCAACTGTAGGGGGATTAGAGTATTTATTGTGGTAGATTCTGGTGGGGAAGGTTCTTGCCTTTGAAAGAGATTAAGGTAGTTTCTTCTTAAAACCCCTGAATTAGTTCCCAAAAGAATTTTGTTATAAAAAGAGTAAGTCTTGACCCCACCCACCTCTCTGACGATCTTTTTTCAAGATTGTGATCATCTTTCTTTAACATACATTCCTGTTTTTCGTCATTGAACCCTTCATCAGAGCTATGCTGTTTTGACTTCAGCCTCCACATCTTATAAGCTAGAATAAACTCTTTCCTTTTGTAAAGTTGGCCTACTTCAGGTATTTTATATGACAATACAAAAACAGACTATTCAACCTTTAATTCCTAACTTTCACTATTTTTCATATCCTATTTTTAATTTTTAGTATAATTAAAAAATGAGTATCTAGATTAAATGAGCATAAAACTAGATAGTCAGCCCCCAAGATAGATGTGCATAGTTCTACCATGGGTCTGTTTTAGTTAGTATGAACTCCTTGTAGGTGGGGTTCACCTTTCCAGAGTGGTATGATGGCCCAGGAAAGCAGTATAAACTTGCAGTTCCCTGATTGACCCCCACACTCTTAGGCAGGGCATGGAGAATGAAACTAACTTGTCTTAGCTAATGCCGGATTCTTTCCAGAACATGATGGATGGGTTGATAAAAACAGAGAATTATTTTTTATGTACATGGTCTTTTATGTGCTGACTTTTTTCTCCTCATTTACATTTTGAAAATTTAAATTTATAGGAAGTTAGACCTTGATTTTTAAATGTAGTTTTATTTTTAGCAAAATATACATACTAAGTTTAAAAAGTCACATTAGTAAAGCAAATCTCAATAAAAAGAGTAGTGTCTTCTTTTCCCACCTTGTAGTCCCACTCCTAGTTCCACCACTTTTACTCTTTCTGCCTTTTACTCACTTATAAATGGTTGCATTTCTGTTGTAATATGTGATTTTGATGTGAATTATAAGAATTTAGCCTCTATATTAGCTTAATCTCTAGTGAAGACACACCACACACACACACAACACCACACATAACCTCCCCATCATCACACCGATGAATGCATTTTGTAGTAAATGAATAATCAATATTTACCTTCTTTTTTTCTTTTTTCTTTTTTTGGCAAAACTGGGGTTTGAATTCAGGGCTTCATGCTTGCAAGCAGGTACCCTAGCGCTTGAGCCAACCCCAAGCCCAGTATGTATTTTCTTATGAGTGTGTAGGTGTCCACATGGAAGCTAACTACTCTGGTTAGATGCCTTTTTTCATGACTCCATTCTCCTTTATTGTTTGCTACTATATATATATATATTTTATAATATATATATATATTATATATATATATAAAATTCAGCTATGAACTTTGCAACAGAAACATTAAAAAATCTCAGCAAGATCTGTAATCCTGTTTCTTTTTTTCTTGGAGACATTCCTCCTGAAGCTCTTGGTCTTTTTGCTCTAACAGAGTCTGCTGTACCCATATTGTTCTGGAACTCCCCTTCATAGCATTGTAGAAAACCCTTTCATTTTTCCTGTGTTAAAAACACCTGTTTTTTAAGATTTTTTGGTTTGCTTTTAATCATTCCAAGGAAGCACATTCTTCCATAATCTCCTGAGAAAGACTGAAATCTTGTATATTGAAAATATTTGTTTGACCTTTACCTTTGATTTTTAGTTTAATTTATACATCATTTGGCTTCTACTTACTATGTAACAAATGACTCCAGAAATTTACTGTATGAAAACAACTGTTGGTTTAGGTCATGATTCTGTGATTTAGCAATTTGGGTGGGATTAGCTGGGCAGTTCTGATCTCAGCTAAGCTACCTTACGTAGCTGCTTCTTTAGGGCAGACTAAATTATCATTATTGTAGTTAGGTAAAAATGCTGTTGGCTTTTGTATTTAGATCTCGTTTTCCAGCTATTGTATTGAACTCAAAAGGTACACTGTAGTAGTTTATTCTCTCTCTCTCTTTTCTCTCTGTCTCTTCTCTCTCTCCATCCCTCCCTCTTCCATCCTCCTTCTTTCTCCCTCTCCCCCCTCCTCTCCCCTCCCCCCCCAACTCTCCTCCTTCTCCTCCCTTGTTCTTTCTGAATATAGATCAGTGTATTATTTGTACAAAAAGACAATTTTGTCTCTTCTTTTCTGACTCTGACTCCTAATTTGTTTTTGTTTCCTTTTTAAAAAAAACTGATTTAGGTAGGGCACCTAGCAATTGCATTGAAAGCAAGTATTCTTTTATGAATGATGGACTTAAAAATTGATCTTATTTTGTTATTTTTGCTCTATTACTTTCTCTGTTTTCAACTGTTTGATTTTTTAAAAAAAATCATTAACTGCCATTGTTTTTTATCATATCTTATTTGAAATTTTCTTTCTTTTTTATTTAGTTATTTACTTATTTTGTAGGACTGAGATTGAACTCAGAGTCTCCTGCTTACTAGGCAAATACTCTACCACTTGAGCCATACCCCAAGTCCTTTTGCTTTTAGTTTGTGTCTCAGATAGGGTCTTGTGCTAACTTTTGCCTGGACTGAACTGTGATCCTCTTACCTTTGCCTCCCAAGTAGCTGGAGTTACAGGCATGCACTGCCATGCCTAGCCCTCATATTTTTATTTTCTAAAAAATTCTTGTACTCTGTTCCTTCTTATAGCATTCTGTTCTTACTTCATGGGAACAATTTTATCTTTATTGCTGTATGGATATTAAAGTTTTGGTTTTCTAAAAAGTCTTTTTCTCTTTGCATTTCGTTTTGCTAAATCCCTTCCTTTTGGATGTTTTATTTTGTGATATATTTGTTTATTTTTTTGTGTGATTTTTAGTATACAGGTTTTCTATAATGTTTGTTGATCTCGGTTCATATTTAAGAACAAGAGACTGAAAACCAATTAGAAGCATTTTTTTAATGGTTAGGCTTTATTAACTGGTGTTTCCTACTTTTAGCATTTACTTTATAGAAATTAACCAGAGAACACTAAAATAAGCATTCTTATCTCAAGGAAGAAATGTGGCTTAATTTAGTTTTGATACTAGCTTTTAGTTTTAGATATTCAAGTTTGATCTTTGTTTGATTCTAGGAAGGTTGGTTTCGGATAGCTGAGAATATGGGATTTCAGTGCCTAAAGATTGAGAGCAAAGATCCTCGGCTAGATGGGATAGACTCACTTTCTGGAACTGAAATCCCCCTACACTATGTCTGTAGATTGTCCACTCATGCTATCCACTTGGTAGTCTTTCATGAGAGGAGTGGCAACTACCTCTGGCATGGCCATCTACGACTCAAAGGACACATCGACAGGAAATTTGTTCCTTTTCGAAAGCTACACTTCGGTCGTTATCCTGGAGCTTTTGACAGGTAAATTTAGAGCCAAAAGGGGAGATGTGTAATGAGTTTTGTCTAGTCATGAATTTTTAAACTTTTAACATTTTTAAGTGAAATCTAATATATAATTCGTGTGAATGTTCATAGTAACTTCGTTGGTAATGCTCCCATATTAAGAGCGATTCAAATATCCTTCAATAATAAAAGGATATATATTAACACACACACATATTTCATACAGTGAAGTATGAATACAGCAGGGAAATGAACGAGAGCACTGTGTATTAGCATGGGTGATTCCTACAATGTTGAATGACACAACGAGGCTGAAAAGAAAAATATCACGATTACATTTACAGGAACTTCAAATACACGCTAAATTATGTTCATAGATATATACTGAGATAGTCTAAAATTATTAAGGATAGTGACGAAGCAGTACCAGAAAAAACAAAGTAGGAGTTTACCTCTTAGGGATGAGGGGGAGCAGTGATATGGTGACATATACAAAGAATTGCTAGGAAGTTGGTAAGATTCAATTTCTGTGGTGGAGACATGGCTTTTATAACATTATTTTGTGCCTGTGTGTTTTATCCACTTTCTTAATATATTTTTTTAAAACATGGCTGGTATGGTTGCTGACTGATATAATTCCAGCAGTTGGAAGGCCAAAGCAGGGGGAGTACAAGTTCAAGGACAGCCTGGGCTACATAGTAAGACCCTGCCATAGAAAAACCAAAACAAAACCAAAAAAATTTTTAAATACATAAGTAAACTATGTACAAAAGTATATCCTTAGCTATCACAATAATAGTAATGTTTCTTGCAAGAAATAGTTATTTGAAGGCACTCATGTAAAATCTGATTAGCTGTAAATTATATTTACAACTGCAGGATGAAAACAACATTATTGAAATTAGACAATGAGTATAAAGTTTTTAACCTAGAGTTATACTTTTCTTCCCCTTTTGAAATCAATAATGGTATTATAATCTGCTTGAAATACAGATTCAGATGTGAAGGTAGAAGCAAACATTTGCCTTTTGAGCTGGGTGCCAGTGGCTCACGCCTATAATCATAGCTACTTAGGAGGCAGAGATCAGGAGGATCATGATTCAAAGCTAGCCCAGGCAAATAGTTCACAAAACCCTATCTCAAAAAAACCCCTCACAAAAAAAGGGCTGGTGGAGTGGCTCAAGGTGTAGGCCCTGAGTTCAAGCCCCAGTACTGAAAAAAAAAAAAATTCCCTTTTGCCTAAAGGTTTACCCTCCTTGTAAAAATTTTCATATTGATAACCTTTGTTGGCAACTTCCAACTTCCAGAGAGACAATGCTTATCTGTTACACTGGTAAGAGCATATTTATAAGCATATTTATTCTTGCCTTCTTATTAGTATTTAAAATCACATACTTGAGGAACAACTGAAAAAGATACTCAAAACTGGAGTCATCTATATTTTTCTGTGTATGTGAAGTCATACCTTTTGTAAACCAAACCAGGTTTTTAGGAATATAAATAACCAAAAAAAGAATAGGGTGTGGAGAAAAGTAGTTTGTTCTAAATGTTGGCTCTTATTATTTTACTGAAAATCTTAGCTACTGTTTCCTTACTACTTTTATGCATATTTTTCTTATTCTATATTTCAGATAAGTTTTTCTAGACAGGCACTATCTTTTAGGTTTTTTTTTTAAAGCCTCTTGAGTTTACTTCAAAGTTTAATGATTGAATTTATTTCAAAATTGTCATTCAACAATACTTGTTAAGTGTAATGTATGCCATTAGACAAAAGGCATCTCTATATAATTTTATATAAAGAGGAATAGAGAACCCTCAAAGAATATTTATACAATGAGTTCCAAGTAGTTTGCCTGTTAATGAGACTCAGGTTATTGTAATTTACTTACTGTGTCTTAAGGATTAAAAAATTTGCTTAAAAGTAAATTGACAATCTAAAATGTCATTTAACTGTCCTTTGTGCTTAAAAATGCCAAAGTGTATATGAGTAAAATATTTTAATTTTTTTTTTTTTTTTTTTTTTTTTTTTATTTATTTTTTTTTTTTCCATTTTTTTTATTATTCATAATGTGCATACAAGGCTTGGTTCATTTCTCCCCCTGCCCCACCCCCATCCCCTTACCACCCATCCACCCCCCCGCTCCCCCCTCAATACCCAGCAAGAAACTATTTTGCCCTTATCTCTAATTTTGTTGTAGAGAGAGTATAAGCAATAATAGGCAAAGGAACAAGGGGTTTTTGCTGGGTTGAGATAAAGGATAGCTATACAGGCATTGACTCACATTGAATTTCCTGTGTGTGGGCTGTTACCTTCTAGTTAATTCTTTTTGATCTAACCTTTTCTCAGTTCCCCTGGTCCCCCTTTTCCTATTGGCCTCAGTTTGCTTTAAAGGTATCTGCCTTTCAGTTTCTCTTGCGTTAAGGGCAACAAATGCTAGCTAGTTGTTTAGGTTGTCTTACCTATCCCTTCACCCCCTCCCTTGTGTGCTCCTCGCTTTTATATTGGCTCATAGTCAAATTCCCCCTTGTTTGTTGTGCCTTGATCTAAATGTCACATAATGAGGGAGAAACATACGATTTTTGGTTTTTGAAGCCAGGCTACCTCACTAGAAGGAGTTTCTCGCATTCCCATCCATTTACCGCGAATGATCAACATTTTCGTTCTTCTTCCATGGCTGCATAAAATTCCATTGTTGTATAGATAACCACATTTTCTAAATCCATTCGTTAGTGGCTGGGACATCTTTGGCTGTTTCCATCTTGGCTATTGTGAATGTGCCCGCAATAAACATGGATGTGCAGGTGCCTCTGGAGTAAAACAGTCTTTTGGGTATAATCCCCAAAGAAGTGGTATGCTGGATCAAATGGTAAGAATCGATGTCCCCATCTTTTAAGTAGCCCCAAATTTTTTTCCAGAAGTGGGTTGTACTAGTCTACATTCCCACAAACAGTGTAAAAGGGTTCCTTTTTCCCCACATCCCGCCAAACCTGTTTGTTTTGGTGGGTGTTTGCTGATGATGGCTATTCTAACAGGGGGTAGGTGGAATCTTAGTGTGCGGTTTTAGATTTGCATTTCCTTGTATTGTAGACGATGGTGAGCATTTTTTTCCAAATGTGTTTTCTGGCCATTTGAAATTTCTTTCTTTTGAAGAAAGTTTCTGTTTCAGTTCACATGCCCATTTCCTTAATTGGCTCTTTAGTTTTTGGGAGAATTTTAGTTTTTTAAAGTTTCCCTGTATATTCTGGTTATCAGTCCTTTGTCTGATGTATAATTGGCAAAATTTTCCCACTCTGTGGTGTTCCTTCAGTTAGAGGACCATTTCTTTTGGAACATGAACAGAAGCCTTTTAGTTTTAATGAGGTCCCCAATTTATCTATGACATCTCGTTAGTTTGTGGTCTCTGGGGTTTTCATTGAGAAAAGTTTTACCTATACCTACTAACTCCAGAGTCTTTCCTACTCTTGAGTAAAAATATTTTAAAGCACATTAGCCAAAATACTTAAAACTCATTTCCTATTTGATGGCAAATTTTCAAGATCTTCTTAAAGTTGCTAATTGATACCCAAGATAACTGAAGAAAATATATTTGGTGTTGAGCCATTTTGCTGATGTTTACTATTTTAAAAAGGCTGCTAGTGTTCTGGATTAAATCCTTATAATAAAGCTTAACTTTTGTTTTCAGGCCAGAGTTACAGCAAGTTGCTGTTGATGGACTAGAAGTTCTCATTCCAAAAAATCCAGTGCACTTTCTAGAAGAAATACCACACTCTCGATTTATTGAGTGTAGGTATAAAGAAGCTCGAGCATTCTTTCAGGTAAGAGACAACCAAATAATGTGCTTTTTAAATTAAAGGACATGTTATGTAGTATTGGGGGGATGGATGTGAAGGGACTTATGAAAAATAGATAAAACATCTTTTTGGATTCATCTCTTTTCTTCTAGTTTGTTTTCTTTAATTTTTTTAAAAAGTAGATTAAAAATTAACTTAAAAAACTATTTCCACTGGACATAGTGGCATATACCTATAATCTCAACACTTAGGAGACTAAGTGGATATCAAGTTCTAGACAAGTCCGGGCTACTCAGTGAGACCCTGTCTCCAAAAACAACAGCAAGGCCAAGTGCCGGTGGCTAACACTTGTAATCCTAGCTACTCAGGAGCAGAGATCAGGAAGATCATAGTTTGAGGCCAGCCCAGGCAAATAATATGCCAGTCCCTATCGGGAAAATACCCAACACAAATAAAAAAACAGGCTGGCAGAGTAGCTCAAGTGGTAGAGCGCCTGTCTAGCAAGTGTGAGGCCCCTGAGTTCAAAACTCCGCAGTACTACCAAAAACAACAACAAAAGTTGTAAAATTCTAATTCCTCCACAAGTGGATAAATTGATATTCATGGTTTCATTTGAGTAGACTTTGATAGGGTTAGCACTGGCCTCTGCCTTCAGTTATGATAATTCATAAACTTTATAAGAGATACTGAGTTCTCTTTTTGAATCCAAGTAAAAGAAAGCTATTGTAGAAAATAGACTTGTCAATTTAGACAAGACTTCATGGAAAATACAGTTTGTCTCAGAGGTTTGTCACTGAATATGAATTTTTGTGTTTATGAAGGTCTTTGAAGACAAATGCCATATAGAGATCAAGTGCTTTTTGAACTTTATTCTGCTGCTCTAGCTTTCAAATTTAGTAAACATTTATTGAAATGTTTCCTAGACTTCTGACCCTGGGAATATAAAGATGATTTTGAAGGGTATGAAAATTTATCTCTTTAGATATGACATGAAGCCAGAAATATAGTGAAAACAGGCAAATTGACAGTGGGGTTTTGCTACTCCTTGCACTTGCCCTTTACTTTCTGGGATTCTCTACCAAAAAAAAAAACTGAATGCACGAGGGCAAGAACGGAATTGAAAAATGAAGTACCAGCTTTATTATTGCTACCAAGAGTCCAAGACTCATAAATACAAAACTCACATTTCTCTTGAATGGCATGCTGTCAACAAAGATATAGGCCTGACAGCCCAAGTGGGCCTTCCTTTAAATTTATAATTGTGGAACTAGAAAATTTCCTAAGTCTCATGGATAAGAAACTGGAAAACCACATGTGTGGATGAGTTTCCTCTAGTAGGCAAGTGTTGCCTGACATTTCCCACCACGTGGTGGTAGGAAGTAGAAGAGATGGAGGTTGTTGATTAAACTTAATCACTCATTCTTTCTATCTTCAGGGCATTTGCTCTGTCATAGCAATTTTCACAGTGAGTAGTGGATGTGTATTTTATCCCCCTACTAAATTCTTCCTGATGACAGACATCTTACTTTATTCACCTCTGTAGCATCAGCATCTGTCACGGTACCTGGCACGAAGAAAAGATGCTGTGAATGTGGGGAAAGGCATGGACAATAAGGTGCCCATCTGAATCAAGTACTTTCCCAATGACACTTTTTAGAAGTTCTCTTGTCCTAACAAGGTTGGAGCTACCTAACAAGCCTTTGCCCAGATTCATTTGCCCTTCTTATTTGTGAAAAGGCATTATAAAATGCAAAATGTTTCAAAATACTAAGAAATCATGTGGATATTTTTTAATTCCATATATATATTTTTTACCTCTGGTTTTAAAATGTTAAGGACAGGTATTGAGTCAGCATCTGAGTAAAGGGTATGGATGAAACACGCTGATGCTTCTAATCAGCTATTGCCTCACAGTTCTTGTGTGTGAAGCACTGCAAATAACAAGACTAGAATGCTGTCTGGAGGTTTATATTCATAACATGATCAGGTGGAATTTTGTAGTCATGTTTTTTTTTATATCCTTTACTTGCAGCAAAGTAGCTTTGTGATTCCTGATTTTTTTCTCTCCTGCTAATATATTGGTATTACTATTGCCAAGTGATTAATAGATTCGATAGGTTTTTTTAATCCTTATCCTCTTAAATGTTTGATTCTTCATCATTTCTTTTGTTAGAACCTTGATTAAAAATACCAGGAGGATCTGTTTTCAAATTAAAGCAAACATACACATATTTGAACACTTGGTGGCGCCAAACAGTCTCAAATGCAGTGCCCAGTGTAAAACAAGCAATGAGCTAATCTAATAAACCTTATAAAGCAACTTCCTTTCTTTTTAAAATGATAATTGTTTGCTTTTGTTTTTTTGATTTGTGAGACAGGATTTCACTATTCAGCCCAGGCTGGCCTCAAGCTCACAATATTCCTTCCTCAGCCTCCTGAGTGCTGGAATTATAGATGGATACACAACCACGTCCAGCAGTAATGATTTTTTTTTTTTTTATAAAAATTGCAAGTACAACACAAATAGCATTTTTTTTCCTGAGCCATTTGGGAGTAAACTGCAGACAAAATGTTCAAACATTAGGTAGGGTAGAGCAAGAGAGGTGTTTGTGCACAGGTGTGGCCTAGTGTTACAAAGTGTCAGATCTTGGACAGGTAATGAGGACATATACATGAAGGGGGTGTCCAGTACAGGAAGTCAGAGCAAAGCAGGCTAACGAGGGCCTTCTCCCTACAGAAGAGTAGACAGGCGTGGGAGGCCAGGGCCTGAGCAGAATGAGAAGGCTGTCTACATGTGCTTGTAGCCCAGCAGGTGACAGCAATGCCCAGAACAAGAAGGGAGGAGGAAGAGAAGTGTCTTCCTGACTCACTATTTGTTTTTAAATATTTTCTCAATCAACCAAGAAGTTCAGAACTGGACAATATTCATTTTTCTGAATTTTATTGTGTCAGAAAAATTAATGAGCTCCAGCCTATTAAATTTCAGTGAAAAACCAGAAGAGAATATGGAAATATCTGGACACCTGACCTAGGAATATCTAGACAGTGATATTGTTCTTTCTTCTCCTAATTTGCTTTCAGATCTTGGGAAAAATTTTGAGACTTAGTTCCCTCATCTATAAAAAAGTGTGGGTATTTTCTATTATCTGATTATGCTTTAATATTTGAGGGGAGAGTGTGTGCTTTAGGATTCCTGGATTCTTCTTCGGTTTTGTGTGTCCAGGAAAATTTAAATGGCTGTAATATTTAAATTGGGATAGTCAATTTTGTCATTTTCTAGAAGTATAGTAATTTGTAAATGGTATTTTTATGTGGAAAAAGTATATGTACACTATAATTTCTAAACTCCCTAACAGGCACATAAGTTACATAGGTGTGTATACATGTATATACTTTAACATATATACAGGTCAGTTCTAAGAAATTGAATCTCTGAGAGTGTCATGTTAGGAAAAATGTGTCAGGACATAGGACTGTGTTCACACAGGGAGCAGCCCCAACAGGACACACTATCAGACCTGATGTTTTTATAGAACACAAAGTTTTCATATCTACTATTTAATAATCTGATCTCTCTAGTCACTGTGCAATAAGGCAAGTTTTTTGTTTTGGCTGTAACTGAGGTTTGAACTCTACCCTTTGAGTCATTCTGCCAGCCCTTGTTTTTGTTATTGTTGTTGTTGGGTATTTTGAGATAAAATCTCATGAACTATTTGCCCAGCTTGCCTCAAACCCTAATGTTCCTGGTCTTTGCCTCTCAGTTAGCTAGAATTATAGGCATGAACATGACTTTTTGAGATGCCACTTAAAATCATTGTTGTCTGAGTATGGACCAAGTCCTAGGTCTGCAGAGTCAGCTGCAGACCTTTTCTGCACAGTAAGGATAAGAACATGTACCTCTCATTCCAGTCATATATTGTACAAGAAGTTATGTCTCTGAGGAAAGGCATATTTTCATATCCAGGAGATCCTGGTCATATATATATAATATACATATATTGTTCAGATTGCAGCTCAACCTGCAGGAAACTCCACTTTCTTCATGGCGCACTTTTTTCTCAAGATTCCTATAGTCCTTTGTAGTTCCTGTTATATACATCTGGAAACTGTATTCTTCCTGTTATATTGTAAAAGAATTACAGGATACTTTAGAATATTGTAGGTATAGGAGGGGCTTAGTCAATCATTTATTTATTTACCCACTTATCAGTATCACTTTTTACATGCCAGGTAGTATTCTAAAGCTGTAGAAAAAAATAATAGAGAAAAACAGTACCTGCTCTCAAGAAACCATCTTTAGCTAGGTGAGGCAGCACACACCTGTAATGCCACCTACTGGGGTTGCAGGTAGAGAGTAAAGCTGGAGTCGGAGGCCAGATAGGGCAGTTATGGAGAGCCTATCTAAAAAACAACATAAGACAAAAGGGCTGGGGTATGACTCAAGTGGGAAAGTGCTCTAGCATGCACGAGGCCCTGGGTTCAATTATAGTCTAGTGCAGGAAGTAGAAATAAAGTCAACAATTAGAATTAGATATAAGAAGTGTCAGGTATAATGGCATATGCTTAAAATCCCAGCTACTTTGGAAGTGAAGGCAGGAGGATTGCACATTAGATCTAAGATCTAATTCATTCTTTCATTCTCTTATTCACTTAACAAATGTTGAGATGCTGGTCTAGGCTCTGGAGGTATGCTGTAAGTAAAGCTAAATCACTTTCCTCATAGCGCTTATATTTTGTGATGGTTTGCCTAGGGTTGTAGCTGAAAAAGAAATGGACCTAGATTTGAACATAGATAATCCAAATCAAAACCCCGGCTCTTGGGCTAGCAGAGTGGCTCAAGTGGGTAGAGCGCCTGCCTAGCAAGCATGAAGCCCTGAATTCAAACCCAGTACCACCAAAAACACACACACAGAGCACCTGCCTATCAAGCCCCCAGTTCAACCCCCCAGTGCTATAAAAAAAAAAGTTTAAAAACACACACAAAAAAACCCCCAGCTCTTTCTACTATACTACATACTATGCTACTGTAAAAAAGTAGCATCAATGTATGATGAAAACGTTTAATCTGTTTTGTTTCAGTTATGTTTATAGCTCTATAATTAGCCTTCTTTCCCCCGTAACTGCCCAGTCTGCTAAGTTGTGATGTAGAGGAAGAAGCTTATAGAAGTTTAAGGCTCCTCTCCTGGGAATCCTATTATATTCCTTCCTTTTTAGCTGGTCAAATTTAATTCAGGTGTCATGGAAATGTTCTTAGTATTTAAGAAATAGCCACAATAGCTAACTGTTTATTAAATCTGCAGCAGTACCTTGATGATAACACTGTGGAAGCTATGTCCTTTCGGAAGAGTGCAAAGGAATTACTTCAGCTAGCAGCCAGGACTTTAAAGAAATTGGGAGTGCGATTTTGGCTGAGCAGTGGAACTTGTCTAGGTACAGTTCTTATTACTTTATACTTGTTGTCTTGTCATTTCATCCCTTTTAGTTTTAGAGATGAATGCTTGATATTAGAGAGTGTATTTATATACAGAATAAACATTAATGCATGAACAAGGATCTGTTGATTTCTTTAAATAAATTAATTGCAGAAGTCTAAAATAGAATTATAAATAATGTGTATAAATTAAAAAACATAGATTATATAGTTTGATTCCAGGTAATCCTTAAATTAGCATTTTTTTATTTCTATCCCAAAGATTGTAATTGCCTTAAAAGAAAAAACTGTATTTTGTTTGTCTGGGTACCAGCGACTCATACTTGTAATCTTAGCTACTTGGGAGGCCAAAATCAGGAGGATCACATTTTGAGGACAGTCTGGGCAAAAAGTTCATGATACCCCATCTCAACAAATACCTGGGAGTGGTGGCCCATGCCTGTCATCCCAGGTATGGAGGCCGAGATTGGGATAATCATGGTCCAGGCCAGCCTGGGCAAAAAGTGGGGCTCTGTCTCCAAAAATAACCAGAGCAAAAAGGGCCAGAGGCATGGCTCAAGCAATAAAGCTCTTACCTAGCAAGTGTAAAGTCCTAAGTTCAAACTCATGCACAAAAACAAAAACTATTGTACTTACACATCATACAACCAGCTTGCATTGTACCAAAATATCTCTAATGTGAGGAAGACTGAAAGGAGCATCCTAAAGTGTTCCACAAACCTTTTCCAGGTCATTGATAATATCACTGGTTAGACATCACTGTTCAACTGAGATGGAGAAAGATAGACTTTTCTGTAGTCCTTAAGCAAATGGCTTTTAGAATCTGAGAAAGATTTCTGGATCTCCATCCAGTATTAAATCAAACTTCTCTGACATTTAGAATTATTTAGAATCTTAAATTTTGTTCTGTTTTATTTGTTCCCTTTGATATTTACTGTAGTTGATTATAACTATATTTGTTGTTTCTTCATTATGACTGTATTTGTACAAAAGTTAATTCAGCTTTTATAAAGAGTTATCATATTATTTATTGTCCAACTGAGAATATTTGGAGAGTGAAAGAAAATGCCATAAATAATTTTGTTTGTGCTACAGGTATCAATTGAGACATGGTTCTCCTATGTGTTAGGCTGTGTGGAAGATTACATGGTAATCTCTAGTGGTAAGGTCCACTGGAGTAAGCCAAAAAAGGAGACCTTGGGCTGCTGTTGAGTGGCTCAAGTGGTAGTGCACCTGCCTAGCAAGTGCAAGGTTGTAACCCTAGTACTGCCCCTCCGCAAAAAAAACGAGAAAAAGAATTTCTTACTTGTGTGACATTTGCTTTAAGATTCAACTTTTTAGAAGCAAATTTGTTTAATAGTTCGTGTCATCAAAAATGCATCCTAATTATTTGTCATGAATGCTTTTGAGTTTTTAGTGGTTTACTTCATTTAAAGGTATTGATGAGAGGCCCTGCATTCAGAACCCCAGTACACTGGTAGAATGGCTCAGTGGTAGAGCACCTGCCTTGCAATCATGAAGCCTGAGTTCAAACACTACTACTGCAAAAAAAAAAAAAAAAGTGATTGATGAAATGAGGGAGTTACATTAGATGTAACTATTCTACTAAATGATATTTAAGGAGCCTTCCACTTTTAAGGTAATTATAGATGAATATTTACTTTTAAAATAATTTGGATGGAAAGATTAGTAGAAAAATAGAGAAGATTCAGGAGTTCTTAGTAATATTGAGGCATAAATTTTAGTGTTTTAGAATGATTCTATAGTATCTAATTGACAAGGTGATACTTAGTAAGCACTTATTTTTGACAATGTGTTGAAGGAAAATCTGTTTTATATGCCTATCAGATAGGATCTGTTCAGAGCTGTTAAGTTCACAAATTTTGACTCAGGAAAGTATGTCAATTAAGAATTAACTATTTTATCTGTGGCTCATGTGTGTAATCCTAGCTGCTTTGAGAGATGGAGATCAGGAGGATCAAGTTTTAATGCCTTTTCTGGCAAAAAAAGTTTGTTGAGACCCCCAAGTTGTGCACCTGTCATCCCATCTACATGGAAATAAATAGGAGAATTGTGGTCTAAGTGGTGTTTAAGGCATAAACACGAGAATCTATTGAATAATAATGAAAGCGAAAAGGGGTAGTGTGTGGCTCAAATGGCAGAGCACCTGCCTTCCATGCATAAGGCTCTGAGTTCAAAGACCTCATTACCACAAAAACAAAAAAAAAAAGAATTTTTTTTTCAGTACTGGGATTGAACTCAGGGCCTACACCTTGAGCCACTCCACCAAACTTTTTTTGTATGTGATGGGTTTTTTCAAGATAGGGTCTTGAGAACAGTTTTCCCAGGTCAGCTTCGAACCTCAATCCTCCTGATCTCTGTTTCCTGAGTAGTTACAATTGCAGGCATGAGCCACTGGCGCCCAGCAAAACATACATCTTAAAGCAGCCCCCATCACTAAACGTTAATGGTTAAACATTCTAAACAGCAACTTTTTAAAAATAGATAGCCCAGTCAACAGATTATTAAAGCTAATGAGTTTTTACAAAATTAAAAATATATCATGAAATTTTTGAGGAAGTTGCATGCTCAAACCAGTAAATATATAGAAATATAGATAGGTGATAGATAGATAGGTTGATAGATAGATAGATAAAGGAAGTTCTTCAAGAGGTGACTATCACCAAGTCATTTTGTTTATGATTTAAGTTTTTTAAAAAATATTTGGTGCAGAAATATTATTGAACATGGATCACACCTAAGGAAAGACCATGCATGGGAGGAATAGGAAAGGGAAGAAAACCTAAAACTTAAATGTGTTTGATGTGCTCACTGTAGAAGCGAATATAGTAATCTTAAACTGGCTGAGGCCACTGTGGGAAGGGGACTAGGAAGTAGTGAAGAGGTCTGGTACAGATGA